CCACTTTTATGATACTTTCATGTTGTTTTGTGTCTTTTTTACAGGCTTGAACAATTGATTGCAATTGTATGAAAACATTCGTCAAAAATGTGTGTTGTTCAGTGGTAGAAAAAGTCTACGGGTTTTGGTCAACATGAGAGCAAGTAAATGATGAATGCATATAACAGCCTGATGAGTCACGGGCCACTCTGAATGATCCTGCCATTTGGAATATGGAAGGGGGTTGACACCTCCTAAATCCTCTTCCTGCTCCAGGGCAAATGTAATGTAATTTCAGCTAAGACACTGCTGCCTTTCACAAGCTCAAGCTATAAGAATCTCTGCCACTGCGATCATCTACATTGCTTAAACAGCAGCCAACTATTCGGCTGGTAATCAGGTCTAACATTAGAGAAAGCGTTAGGTGTGTTCGTCTTGAAGCGGTGCTGCGCAGATGGCGCAGACCAATTTTAACATTATTAAAACTACATACTGAGTGACGGAAACAATCTTTGTCATAGAATACACTTGTTTGTTCACATTGAGTTGACAGTTTGAAAGTTCTTGTTTCCTTTAATTTATTTACAAGATCTGAGGTGAATTATCCATTGTCACTTTCAATAATATATAGGTCATGCAAAGCTCATGCAAAGCCATAAATAAAGCACATAAACATTACCTGAGATACTTTGTGTGTTGCTGTTATGAGCTTAAATGCATAAATAATAAGCTTCTACACATGAAACTCACAACGCGGACGACCAACACCAGTTTACAACGAATAAAGTGCCATGAAAGGTAGCATTCAGAATAGAGCTGGATCTGTTGTCTAGCCATTGAAGATCCATAATCGCATAATCAACAAAAAAAAAAAAGTCCCCGTCTTGTTGACACGATCACATTTGAACGTGCTTTCACGGCTTGTAAAAGGTGACATTTTGACTATGCAGCTAATTGCCATGCAGGAAACAATGAATAGAAATGAATTTAAAAAAAAAAGTTTGAGATGTCAAAACCTCCATAGCAACTCTTCTAACCCGCTAATTGCCGTAAAAAAATTAATCAATGTGACATAGTGCATAATCTTCCTCATCAGAAGTTAAAATGAGTGCAAAGAAAATGCTTTATAACGACAGCTGAAGCACGTCTTGAAAAAGAGTTGCATTTAACCCTGCATACCTGCTGGTGATGAGATATCCATCGCAAAGCTCAACTCTGACGCATGCAGCCTTAAGGACGTGCACCAAACACAGAAACCTTAACTGGTAAATGTGAAATGCAACCTGAAACTGTCTGTATTTAGAGGAAACAAGACTTCCTTAAAACTCTCAACAGATTCCCTCTGCCTATATATGTCCAGTTGTTCTTCTCTATCTCTCTTACACACACACACACAGCCGAAGCTGCATCCTCTCCAGCCTTGCGGCAACTTCCTGCATCTCCTGACTAATTTTACCCAGCATCCTGACCCATTTCCCAAGGAGCACAAGGAAACAGGCACAGAGTAGCCGATGCAATGACGTCCATACGCAAAACAGCCTGATGCATTCTGACGGCCAGCCCAAACATTACCCTGTGAAGATTTCAGCGTGGCCCCAAGCTATCACGCACCAGCACTGGCTAAACAAGAACAAAGACTGGTCTAGAACTGGTTTAAAAGGGCTAACTAAACCATAATATACTTTTATCCGCATGTACAATGTACTTTTATCCTCCTCATTCTAAATTAATTTGATATTTGAAATCCATGAAATGGAATTGTAAATGCAGTCAAAACAACCAGTATATAAATACTGCAAACAGACAGCACCAATCCAAATATATCTGGTTTTTCAACAAACTTTTTTTATGCCTTAAAATATGTCACAGTATTTGAGGTTTCATATTTTTATATACTTTCCTGCTGCCCTGGCAAGTTAGTGAGTCAAACTGAAACAAGCCAGACAATATTACAGTGTGGTCGACACATGGGTAACCACAGAAAACCCTGCACGCTACATAATATTCACTAAAACACTAACCGGGTGTAGCAGCCCAAACACTTGTTCTCCGCCTCTGAGATGACAGAAGGTTAATTCGAGAAGTAAAAAGTACAGTAAAATTATTACAGGGATAGAGAGTAAGCTGAGGTTGAGTCATGCCGAATGGAACAATATTAACCAAACAACCAAAGGCTATTGTATTTCTAATTGAAATTAAAGAAACATTTTTGGCATTTCAACATTCTTGCAATCATAGAAAAAAAGAAAGTGCTTTAAAGAAAATGGAAGGCTATAAAATTCCTTTAAAAAAATAAAAACTTTAACCTGAAACCACATTGCATGAAAGGCACACTCAGCAAATTTCTGCTCACCTTTAACTTGGTTTTATTCAGATTTGAAAAAATGCCCCACTTCTATTCTCAATCTCAGCTCTGTTTTACGTTAAACACATTATTAGAGACTCTGTTACGACAAGACCAATAGTGTGATGTCAACATGGCAGCACCCATAAAGGGGTGACCTACTCCATGTAGAATAAAACTGCTTTTTCTAGAAGACTGATATTGTCTTGAGTCTTCATACCACGTGTATCATCATACCAATGACATTTCTTAATAGTTCGGTTCATTTCTTTGTGTAAAACTTTAAAAAGTTAATTACTGAGTGCACCTTTAAGAAACCCTCCACACAGACATCACATTGTATTAAGGGTTAGTTCACCCAAAAATGAGAATTCTGTCATAATTTACTCACCCTCTTGTCGTTCCGAGCCCGTAAGACTTTCACTCATCTTTGGAAAACAAATGAAGATCTTTTTGTTGAAATCTGAGAGCTTTCTGTCCCTCCATTGACAGCTACGCAACTACCACTTTGACGCTTCAAAAAGTTCATAAAGAGGTCGTAAAACTAATCCATATGAATTGAGCGGTTTAGTCCAAATTTTCTGAAGAGACTTGATCGCTTTATATGATGAATAGATCTAGTTTAGGCTTTTATCTTATTTTTGGGTGAACTATCCCTTTAAGTTTCAAAAATAGTTTATAATGCATCCGCCCTCTCAGATATGACAAGATAACCCAAACCTACAGGACAATAAATCAACTGATTTAAACAAGTCTTGGCCACTGATATAAGTTACCTTATATTTATCTACATTTCCCTCTGCATACTCACTGGTTTATTAAAATAATTTGTTGACTCTGCATATCTGCTGGAGATCACTTGTCCCTAGGCTTGACACTTCTGTGACATGTTGCTCTCTGAGCAGTGAATACAGGACAAAACCAGACTAGACTGACAGTTCCAACAACTTAACCAAGATAAGTTAGGCGTTGCCAAAAAAATAAGCTATATCACATTCGCTTGTATATGGCAAATTAAAGTGGCTAAACTTTAGCTTTATTTGTTTAGTGATCACTCGCTCTCTGTTCCTATAATGTGATCAGCAAATAAATATTCGAACATGCATAGCTGCCAACTCTCACGCATTGGCCGTGAGACACCCGCATTTGATTGGTTTCACACGCTCACACGCCACACTCCCGATTTCTCACGCTGAAGTGTCAACCCGGGCGGTCAAATGCCTGGAAGATGAGTTTATCTATATATCTACCTGTTGAGCCACTCGTGATCGACTAGTTATACCGCAAATTCGTTAAAAATCTCCCGTTATCTAGAGCGAGCGTGCATGCGAGACAGAGATTGTGCTCCAAACCGCGTAGAGCGAGCGAGAGACCTTGCGCGCGCGAGACCGCCCCCCCGTCAACAAATCTCACTCGTCTCTACACCCCCCCCCCCGTCAACAAATCTCAATCGTCTCTAACCCCCCCCCCGTCAACAAATCTCAATCGTCTCTCCCCCCCCCGTCAACAAATCTCACGCCGAGCAAAACTCAAAAGTTGGCAGGTATGGAACATGTCACACTACTGATTTCAAATCAAAGACTACATTATACACTAACACATTTAAAACAGAAAAGTTCTAAGTTTCCAATTCTATATTATTATTACAATTATTATTAATTCAAATATTCTAAACTTATAAAAGAGAGAGCCAGATGCAGCAACATTTGCTTCCCACAAACACAGAGGCAAATGGGTTACTTAATCCATCCATACAAATCAAAGCATTACATATCCACCCTGAAAGCATGTCAGTTCAGTTCAGATATGAAAAATGAATTCGTTAAAGCAATCCCCCGTTTTGAGCATTGCAGATCAGCCCATCTGGCCTGATCCACGCTGCCATGATCCCTTCGCATGGACAGATTCTTAAACTTACGCACACCAATACAATCTTTGCCTCATGTTATAAAAATTACGTGACAGGTTGAGTTTGCGCCTATTCTTACCTTCTCAGCTGTCGTAGAAAAAATATTTCCAAGCCCGACTTTAATTTTGCTTTCTACAGCAGCACTCCCTGATCGCGCGAATGTTCCCTATGCCTCTGCCTCACTCAACTTGTCCGAGACTCGCCGGAAGCCACGCCTTGTTTTGTTTTCTCCGCCCAACAAAGAACGTGATTAGATAAACGGGCAATGAGTGGCATCAAAGATCACCAATCACAAAACATACTAATCTTAGCCCTGCCCACACAGAGCGTAAACAGGTATGAACTTGAGTGTGTGGAGTCAGTGGACGACAGTGTCGACGTGACTGCGCTTACTAGTAGAACCAGTTTAGCGTTGAGGACGTCATACAGTTAGTGAAATCAGTGAACACTAAGTTACATCGATTGGTAAGTTGATATTATCATAGTGATAACACAAGGAAGTTCGAATAGTTATTTGGCTTTTCCCCCAACTGTGATACAACCTATGTTGAGGTTGATTTTCCTGTACTAAAATTGCCACAAGATGGCACCATTATGCTGGAATTAACAATTTCATTATTTTCCTCTATAGATAGATAGATACTGCAAGCATATATCATATAGGTCTGGTTTAATATGAAACACATTGCAACTCAGGGGGTTTCTGCTCCATATCTCTATCATCCAAGCAAGGGCTCATCCATAAACAACTCTCAGAAATGTTCCTACCTTTTCTCACTGAAGGTTTTCTCTCTAGTGCTTTGTCAGGTGATTTCTTTGGTGGATCAAATGCTGCTTTCATCTGTGATACTTTCACAGACTGTGTTGGATCTAAGGTCAGATCAACCCGGGCATCAGCTGGCTTGGTCCACTCCTTCATCTTCTTCTGCAACTCAATAGTTTCCTTTATCATATCTGAAACATGTCTTTTCTGGGCACCCTGCGGTGGTTCCATGATGGTGGTCAGGTCGCTTTCTATTGCATGCTTGAGGTCAAGCTGGCTTAAATGTTTCTCCTCTAACACATGAAAATGTGCATGTGTCGACAGCTTGTTCTGCTCTTCATCTTGTTTCTCGTTAGCTTGCATACTTTTTAGGTTGCACATGGAGGAGGAATGTTGCACATCTTGTGCAACAGATGTGTTTGCTGCACTGTCTGCTAATGCAGATCCTGCAATGCAACCATCCTGGACCTGGTCGGAAATATCTGTCTGGCTTACAATGGAATAGGTTGATGCATTTGTTAAAATATTCAAAAAACAATGCTCTTGTTGAGAAGAACCAGACAGAGTGACTTCTGTTTTCTCGTCCATGCCCAGCCTGTCATCTATGGGATTTGAAGCTGTCTCAGGACCAGCAATGAGCTCAGAGATGAAAGTATTTGCAGATGTTTCCTTACGCACATCCGTTTTTGAGCTGATGGTATTCTGATTAGACTTGCTGACCTTGTCTCTTTCGGGTGTTGTCATGTCGCCCGAGTTAGCGTTAGCATCTCTCTCTAATCTCAGCTGTTTAGTAGCATCTTCTACATCAATCACTGCATTTAAAGAAGATGTATTTTCTGGATCCATCCTATGTTTAGTATCCTTCACCGTCTCTGGAAAGGTTTGTATCACTGTATGTCGACTCATTTCTGCCAGAAACCACTCTAGACTTATCTCTGTGTGTACTTTGGCCTTTGCTGAAAGAGGGGAATCCTCTTTTTCATCTTTTTGCATAACTTGAACATCAGATTTAGAAGGGGGGTATGAATCCGTAATGGCTTCAGAGAATGTAATACATTTCTCATCTTCATAGCTTTGTAGCCAGGGTTTGTTTTCACCCAGCATACTTACACTGGCAATATTAGATGTCACAAAACAACCCTCTTCCGTTTCTGTTCCACGCAGAGAAAGATCTTTTATCTCGGTTTTCTTTGCATGGGAACGATAGAGACCCTTTGAAGCAGATTCCAGATTTTCTCTTTCTTCAGTCTCTCTTATGCCATCTTTATTTTTATGACCTCCAGCGGGTGATCTCTCAAGTGAAGGTTCCTTTGTCCTAGGGCTCTCCAAGTCTGACACATTAAATTGCCTTTCTTTCTGAAGCTCATCCTGTGTGAATTCGCCTGCAGGTATTTGTCGATGGCTCTCAGCGCGACCCTGAGGTGACTTGGATGCCACTTCTAAGGGGCCGAGGTCCTCTGGGCTCTGCACTCGTTCTAGGCTCACAGCTTTGTTTTGTAAATCCGCACCTGCCAGCGATGAACTAGTAAATCTGGTCTTCATGACATCATCTGTTGGCTGACACCAAGTAACGTTTTCTCTGGCTCCGCAGACATACTTCATTGACCGCCCCTGGGTTTCGACGTTCTTCGGAGAAGATTGTTCAGTTTTTGGGGTTTCTGTTACAACCTTATCTGGATTCGCTGGCGACTTCTCCCATATTCCTTCTTTGACTTGCTGAATTGCATCAGTAATGTCCTTTGAGGTCTCCATTTGTGAGTTCATCACGAGGTTTGATGTGCTGGGCTTGTTAAACGGCCTCTTGTTATGCGATTCAGTCACGCTGGCCTTCAACTCTACATTTTCGGTAATGACCAAAGCTTTGTCTTGAACCATAAAGTGAACGTTGGTGTTGGCGTCCCCACCACATGGTTTTGAAATGTCCTTCCATTCCAGAATCTCCCAAGTAGGCCCTGCATTTGTCACCACAGCATCAAAATCTAGTTTTCTGTCCCCTTCCTGGCACTTTAGCTTGTCATCATCTCCACAAACAGATTCCATTTCGTCCTTTACGGAAGCACACTTCTTACTCCTGTTTTCTCCTTCGTGAGCACTTTCAACTTTGTCTTTACCAGGAAAGTCACACCCAAGGTTTTCCTGATGTTCTAGATAGTCTTCCAGCATACTCTCCGAGTCTTTTCTCTCGTGATCAGGTTCACCAGCCTTCCATGTGCCTTGCAGGCAGCTGTCAGACTGTGTGATTCCATTCAGCTGCTGTGGAGCCAGCGGTTCAGCCCTGCCTTCCTCACTACTCTTTCTTCCTCCCACTTTCTCGCCATCCCCTCCCTCCACAACCCCCGCATCCGTGGGAGCACACACCTTATCATGAGAATCCAAACTGTGCTCTGGTGTAGGTGATGGTGACTCCCTGCCTGGGCCTCCATCCAACCTTCCAGCGGCTGCTTTCTCCTCATCTGTCCCGACATCGTGAGTCTCAATGGTTGGATTTCCTTCCCTTGTTGCCCCCCCAGGGTCTGGGTTTGGTCCCTTTTCCTCTGGTCCTGCAGAGCTGTTGTCCTGCACTGGCTCCCCCTCCTTGCCCTGGTTTTGTCCCATTCTGTGGAAAAGAGAGAGAGAGAGAGAGATGTTATTGGCAGTGTATTGTGGCGGACCACAAGATGTTGATGATGGCATGACTCTGGCATGCAGGTTATGCCAGTGTTTATCTGAAATTCTCCCACACTTTCACTCCCCTGTACAAAGTTTTACACTCACTAATAATCTCTTTCACCTTTCTGTCTCTACTTTCATTTCGGATGACAATCACAGGCAAACATGACTTGTTCTCTTTGTGTTAACTGATATATATATATACATTTTTTTTTTGCTCTGTCTTCCTTGTCATCTTATTTCATGGCAATGAAAGACTTTTCAGGAATTAACTGCTGATTAGTTCAAAGTGGTGGATGAAGTACACAAATCTTGAACTTGAATTAAAATACAGATTCCCTGCGGAAATAGGGCCAGTAAAAGTAAAAGCACACCTTTAAAATTTTCACTTGAGTAAAAATACAAACTTTTTACTTTTGAATACTTAGGTAAGTTCATTTTTTTTTAACTATACTTGATATACTATGGAAGCCCATTTATGTTATGCGAGAAAACAATATTAAATCCCTGAATCATAATTTCAAACATATGTAACGTAGGCCAGTAAGAGCTGTGCGTGTAAACCTCACTCCTCCGGCCTCATGAGGCGCGCTGGTGGTGACTGATGCTAGAGGCTGCAGTCTTTAGTGTACTTGTTAGCGCACCCGCCTCCCATGCTGGAGAAGCCGGTTCGAGTTCCACTAGGAGTGCTTCGAGTAAGACCAGTTACACATACAAATTCATAAGTTTTAGATATAAAATCTAAAAATGACATAATTGAAATAATAATACATAAAAAAATTTTTTTCAGAATTATGATTTACCAAAGCACTGAGTTTAAGATTAGAGCTTAGATTAGAGCTTAGTATGGCATTGTTATGAATTATGAGGTGTCAGCACACTCAAGCTTTCAGGATTTATTTTTTTATGATATTTCAGGATCTTTTTTTTTCATGATGTGAACTTGTTTTTTATTGCTTTGAGAGAAAAGGGTCATATTTTCTTTGCTCATTTTGAACGAGACCACACCAATTCGGTTGCTCGTTAACGAGACTTGCTCCAACCAGATCACTGATCAGTGAGTTGTTAATTGCTGCAATCGGATCAGTTGAATTCACAACAGAATCGTTCAGTGCAATTTGTGGATCGCATCAAAAAGAAGCGGCTCAAAAAAGAATGATTCATTCACAAATTGGATATCATGTCTCTCTTGATTTTTTTTTTTTCACTTAAAAAAAAAAGTTTCCAAACATTAAAATGTATATATTTTTTTAACAATGAAACACTTTGGCATAGTAACTGAGTAAAATGATCATTACTATTCACCATTGTGCAAAACTAACCAAATGAAACAGCTGAGTGTATTTTACTGGAACCTTGACTTTGGTGGGAACAGTGTTTCTTTCCTCAGTATCTTGTGACTACAGCATATCTGAGCAGCCATTGACTGTTCATGCTTGTCTTGTTACATGAACCGTACTGTCAGCAGGAACAACAATTAGAGTCACAAGACTTTTCAGGAGCTCTCCTGTAAAACACTGTCAATCACAGTCCTCCTAAGTACTGTACATTTTCACACCTACATTACATCAATTAATCAAACAATCAATCAACCAACCTATCCGTCCATTCTGAAAGTATTTTTGGATAAATATGATGCTATGTCCAATATAAACAATTATAGCAGTACACTGTAGAGTTAAAAGGGATCTGAAAGTTTTCAGAAAAATAGGCATTTGGCTTCTTGCTGCTGACAGCAATGTTGAGGAAGATGAGTGCGTCAGGCAATTCAATCCCGAGACACACATTGGTTCATAAGCCTGCGCTCTGTCACACATCATTTAAAGGGCTTACAGGCTCATGAAAGCCACTGATGAAATCTTACTTTGGGTCACACTTCCTATCTATTTCCTGTCTGCACATCTCCCAAACAAAATCTCTGATTCCTCTTCTCATCTGTCAATGCCTCCTCTCTCCCTGGCCCAAAAGCAGAGTGAACATAATAGATCATTTTTTTTTGTTGTTGTTCAGCAAGGACACAATAAATTGATCAAAAGTGACAGTAAAGACATGAATATTTGAATATTCATTAAATTAATATATTCACATTCATATATTTTCTGTTCATCAATGAATCCCGAAAAAAATGCATCACTCTATGCAGCACAACTGTTTAAAAAAAATAACTGTTTTAAAATACTTTAAAATAAAATCAGTTATTTTAAATTGTAATAGTATTTCACAGCTATTGCTGTTTTTACTGTATTTTGGTGAACATAAGAGACTTCTTTCAAAAACATTTAAAAAAAATCTTACAAACCCTAAACTTTTGAACAGTAGTGTATGTTTTAGGGCTGAAGTTCAGTGAAGGTTTTATTTTAAAAAAATGGTCTTGCATTTCATATCAGACAGTTAATTATATCAAATAATATGACTAACTTATGCATCCTGTATTTTAATATTCATGAAGACACACACAGCACACAAATGCAAATTTTTTGAGAATTATCTACTTAAATTGTAAGTGCAGCTAGAATTTTTTCTAAATTTGTAAATGTAGAAAACGTACAAAATAAAGGAGTCACTACAGTGACAATGTGTTTCGTGCTCATCTGCTTCACTCTCTAGTTCTTGAGAGCCCTCCTCAACAAACACATTTACAGGAACTCACACGCAGAACTGGAGGCGTCCTTGTCATATAGTTCAGCAAAGTTGAAACGTGGCTCACACAGTTATGTTTTCAATTCTGTACTGGGACAGACTAGAATAGACAATTGATTTGCTCACAAAGCCATTGCATTGTCTCATTGCTCAATATTAAAAGCTCTTTATAACTTCCTCTAAGTTTTATCTTTGTAAGACCTTTGGTTTATAAATCAGAGAGTTATTGTTTAATGGGATGGTAGCATTAATCATTTATCAAACGTTTACAGTCCATTTTCCTCATTTACTTCTCTGTAAAGCGCTTGCGGACGCCGACAGGATTCCCTGTACAAGGCCATCTCATCTTAAACCTCCACAACTGCTCCATTGTGCTGCATCCGTCACCCTGACACTTAAGGCAAGTCACTTGATTTCCTTGTGGCTCGCTGCCTCTCCCATGCATGCAGAATCGAAAAGGACTGAACAACAACTATATGAAACATCTCTTCACTGTCTCAGAAAGTTTTATTGTCTCAATCCACAAGTGTTTAAATCAAAATCCAAGCAATTTGTCCAGCTCAATGGACGGTACACCACGGAATCAACTTCTGTGGTAACAATTTGTCTCAAGTAAAGAAGTGGATACTCACCGATACTCCCGTGACTGCAGCGTAACTCCAGGACAAGACCACTCTTTGTTGGATGGATGGATGTTCTGGCTGAGTTCTGCTGGCAAATGGGCTTTTATTACTCTCATGATGTCACAGATACATTTGCCTAATGCAGTAAGTCAGTCCTGTCCCAGTGGAGAAGCACAACAACTTTCAGATTCATTAAGATATTCAAAGAACAGTTCACCTAAAAATTATATTTTTGTCATCATTTACTTACCCAGTATGATCTCCTTTCAACTGTGCAACACAAAAGGAGATGTTTAGCAGAATGTTCACACTGCTATTTTCCATACCATGAAAATGGATGGAGACCAGGGAGGCGAAAAATGAGGAAAAGCACCATGAAATATGACTTGAAAATCGGAAATGAGTCATTCCTACACTGTAAGAAATAATTTTTCGAAATGTAAATAAAACGGATGTGACTTTATACTTTACTTTTCATTTATTACTTATAGCCCACTTTAAAGTCCCACTCCGATCATATTTTGAGCTATTTTAAAACATTCCCAGTGGTCTTTAAATTATGATTATGCCATTTTTAGCCAAAATCACAAAACCTGTGCCGTTTGCTGGGACTTCGCTTCAGCAGAGCGGCAGTAGCTCATTAGCAATTCGCCTCTGCGTTGTGGGCGGAGCCGTTGGCACGGAGACGACCCTCCCCCTGCCTGTTGCTGAGAGCTCTGTTTCTCCCGCTAGCTTACATCCCCAATACCGGTGGGGCAACAGTATTATATACACGTTAATTATTATTATCCGAAGTTAATCAAAGTTATCACCGATCACCGATCATTATTTCACTCCAAGACGTCGCGTGTGGAGACGCCCAGTGGAGTTACTACGTCACAACTCCAGTCGATTTTAGCCTGCATTTTAGCGTCTGCTACTGATTCACAGCCATTTGAATGTAGAAATACTCAGAAATACAACTTTGAGCTTATTTTTCTCAAGATATGTCCTCTAACATCAGAAAAATGCCACAAGAACATGTTTACACCCCTAGAAAAACATTATTTTCATCGGAGTGGGTCTTTAAGTTCTTTGATACCACAGAAATAAATCTAGCTTTTAATAATTAAACATTATTAAAGACAAGTGAACAGTCAGTAATAAAATAATAACAAATACACAAATTACAAGCATAGATGAATACAACATAAAGTTACAAAAAGGTCTAACAGTAGTAATCAGGTAAATAAATGTAAGATATAAGTGTTCACTGTATAAATAAAATATAGAATAATCTTTGTTACAGATGTCTTGTTGTTTGATTAACATTAATGACATAAACAGCAGCAGATGTGTAGGCTGCTGTCACTTTAAGACCGTAATAAAATTATATACATCCAATTTCTTTCTCAATTGTTTACGTTCACTTAAGACATAACCGACTGTCTTTATGTGAATACTTGCCGAGATGGGTATTTATTTTAACATAATTTTGTATACGTGTATGTGTCTGTTTAAGCGCAAGGAGACCCAAAAGAGGAATCAATTCTGTATTAGTGCGCTATCTGATACATGCCTCTGTGTTTGCGCGTGCTTCGGACACGTAAGGCTGTACTCTCAGAGAACAGTGCACGAATTTAGTTCTCTTTTTCTGCGCTTGAATGGTTTAAATTGTCAAGAAAAAACACGTGCAAATTATAAACTTTCACTCTGTGATGGTTAAACTTAGCAATTAATCTGCAAATCACATGCGTGCCGAACCGTGAGGCCTGGACCTGGTCCATACCGATCATCATGCGATCCGTTACACCCCTTGTTTGAAATGACACGAGGGTGAGTAAATTATGACAAAATTTTCAATTTTAGGTAAACTGTGCCTTTAAAGAAAAGTATGACTTATTATTATTATTATTAACAGATCTGCCACCGTCCTAAGGCCTTCGTTTTATTTTTTCTCATAGCAAAGGCTTTTATTCAGCATAAAAACATGACATCACCATACTCCTCTTTTATCCCACAGCAGGTTAACCGAGCTGTTATCTGTACGGTTTATATCCCCTTACAGTAAATGTGTCAACTTCATAGGCATTCTCAGTTTTTAAGAATCGCTCCCTCTGTATTTAATTTAGTTCTTTGTATTTACAGATTCAATTGTTCAGGGAGCTTTTTTAAGCTACACTCCTTTGATCAAATCCTACACACATTCCACCAAGGGTGCAATAATACCAAGTAATAGTGTGACATGTCTTGCGGCTCTGTGCTTTTCTCAAAATAGCAGTAAGCGTAAAGACAAGTACACTGGACCTCTAGTGTAAACTGAGACATGGTAACAGAGATACAGGACGTGAGGAGAGCATGGTATCAGTGTGGTACCACTTTATCAGTATTACAGCCGTGTACCAGTCTCCGTGGCCAAAGTTTAGAAGTTTCCTGATATAATTCACAGAAGGGGAGTAGAAACTGTGATCGCATAAAGAGATACTGACTAAAGTTTCTCGAAAAGAAACTGCAAATACAAAGGGAACAAAGCCTTATAAATCTTCCTGTTATGTGACTGGTCACCATGGCAATGATCATAACAGGATGCTCTCGTTTTCTCTTAGATAATAAAGGAGAAATTACTTCAGCACACAGTTCACCAGACATTGAGACTGAAGTGGAAGAACTTGGTGACTCCTTCTGCAAGACCATCAGGAGGACATATTTATTTCACAGACCCCAAAAAATATTTGGGCATTTCAGCCACACTTAAAAATGTATGATGTCACTACATTATATAACAAAATATCAAACCAAAGGGCAATTACAATAAGTAAATAAGTTAATTTTTTTTAATTATTATTTTTTTTACTAGAAAAAAGATCTAGACATAACCAAATGTATCATGGTTTTCACAAAAATATAGAGCACCAAATCATCATATTGTAATGATTCTGAAGGATTATGTGAACTGAACACTGAAGACTGGACTGGAGTAATGATGCTGAAAATGTTGCTATGCCAACACAACGTAAATTTTAAAATATATTAAAATAGAAAACATTTGTTAATTCATTTTTAATTTCCAATAATATTTTTTACAATATTACCTTTTTTTTTTAAATAAACCAAAACAACTTATTTTAATTTACAATATTACTATTTTTTTTTACTGTATTTTGGGACAAATAAATGCAGCCTTGGTGTGCACAAGCACACATTTGAATCAAAATAGGTTTTGTTACTGTTTTAAAAGATAAAACAAGACATACATTATTGTTGGATACTTTCTGTGTCCTCAGACATTTTTTTAATTGTGACAAAAGTGTCCAAATACTTGTTAGGGACACTTACTTACCTTATCAATAACTACAGCATCAATACAGAATAAAATCTGGACCAATCAGACACAAATTATTCATTATATTTGATGAATAATCCAGCAAACTCACTCTCCCAACAAAGGTCTATGAAACTTCCCCCAAAACTTACATCCCAAATGAAGCTAACACACTGGCAGAACCCGGTGTCCTGTTACAGGACACACTAAGACTGATAAGACTTTTTACGACCCCAAAAGGAATTTGCAGAGACTTGTGACTCTCACTTAATTCTTGCTGAGAAGGAGAAATAAACCCTTTAAATCCTATATATTCTATATATAACCACTTGAGAAATGTATAAACCTCAAACATGTATCTAATTTTCCCATCTCATGATTTTCCTTTTATGTGGTTTTGCCTATGTATTCATTCTCTCTTGTGTTGCATGTTTAGTCTCTATAAACGCCAATCTTCGTCCCCCATTTGTTAATTTACGTTACATTTTGCTAACTTTGTGACACATTCGTATTATAAGAATCTTGAAGATTCTTTTGTTAAACACCCAATGAAATGACATGTTCAAAGGCCTGCTTGCACAAAAGGTCGTAAAAGAAATTCCCTCCAAAGGGAACAACTTCTTATTGGCTCAGAACCCTCCAGAGGGTGTGACATCTTCACGCTTTAAAAATCACTGATCACAAGATTAGTCTCTTAGTCTGTTAGTTCCTTTCTGAAATCCTGATATGAAGATGAAGCTGAACTAGAAGTTTCCCAAGGACCCCCAAGCTTGCGCCAGGCTGTGGGCGGACTTGTCTTTCCATTCACCAAAGATCCTCTGACTCCCACTGGTTCTCTCTCATCAAGACAACACCAGCAAAGATCAACTGGAGCCTCAACAAATTGCATCAGGACAGTTTAATTCAAATGGACGAGACATGCAAGTATCAAACTTAGTCTCATTTTTTGATATACCCCTTTTTAAGAAGGGCGTGTTAGAACTAAACTGATGGTTTGCTCAGGCCGTTGATCTGCTGAATTTCAAACAATGCTATAACTTCTTGCTTTCCTGTATTCTGCTTCAGCTCTTTCCCTTGGTAAACTGTATGCATGTATGTATGTGTATGTTAGAATAGTTTAAATGTTTAGTCTAGTTAATAAAGTCTTGTTCATGTCACACGTATGTCCATGTCTCAAGCTCATATACTGGAGTCCCTAATCCTAGATTTTGACGACAGGCTTTGAATAGTACTGTACAGTACGAAAGACATTTCCCATGCCCCGGAAAAGTACATTTCTTAGAATTAGAGTGTTCACGGCACAAACAGGTTAATTGATTGTAATATTAATTTGACTACATTAAGTTAATTCTATTAACTGATCCAAATATTCATAATCAATTATAACACATTATTATTGATTATTAATATTTCTTAGAGCTAATTCACTACATTTATCTCCATCCTTTGATCATAAATGACAACGATCATGCATTTTCTGCTTCCTCACTGATTTGTCCACTAGCATAACTTTATTTCTTTACAAAAGACCATTTATAAAGTACCAGCTGCATTTCACCCCTATATTAACAAGAAAATGAAATGCACAGACCGATCATGTGCACTTATTCTGAGAAGACTTGAAGGTCATTAACCACCCTCTTACAACCTCAAAGCCTGCAATAAAACCTCTGACGTCATGCGCGCAAGGAGGTCTAGCCTGTAGTTGCATAAGCTGCTCTAACGGCACAACCATGCCAGAATATACTGAGCACAGATGGCACACTATGATGTCATAATACTATAGTAGAGTGGGTTAACCAATCAAAAAAAGAGTCTAAAATGGCCTAGATTAAAGTATTTTGCCAGTAAATGTAGCAAACATGACAAGAAAAACAAAAAAGATTGCATGAAAAAGTTTATTCCCATAATAAACACATACAGTACATCAACAAAATGTACAAAGTGCAATATGCATTGAAACTACAGCAAATCTGCAGTACAAAGGAAAAAAAATTACTGCATACTTAATAATGAGAACAATGGTGACCTGGTGAGGAGAAGCGAGCGCTCCTATTATGTGAGCATCGCAATTAATCAGCATTGCTAATTCACAAAATGACGCTCAATATCCAACTAGAGGAAAGTCTATGGATGATTTGGGAACAGAACCAATGTAACATTCTTTTTTTTAAAAAGCCACTGTCTCTCCCATGCAAATAGCTTGAATCTATGATGGTTCCATAAGCAACAGCATCAACAAATGTGTCATTTAATATCGATTCTCAACACAAAACTTTGGTTATCACTTCATTCTTTAAAAGCATAAAATCCTTCCTTGCTCCTTTGGAAAGGAAAACCTCCCCAAACTTGACAACTCTCATGAGTTTGTAGTGTCTTCATCTTTAATCAAAATGAAATAATGCCAAATGTCAATGATCGGTTTCTATTTTGTCTTATACAACAATAAAATGTAGGAGTGTACAGTAGGAAAATGTCTGCCAGCTTTAAAATGTGCCCATGCAACCCATTGGCCTCTGCCTTAGCTGGCAACATTATCAAATGGGAGTCAACACAGAACAATGCCTCTAGTAGTGCTTCTGGGTAAGGCACTTGATGTTGATGACACAAGACAATGCAGGCAACCAATAACATTTAATCTGTAATCTCTGACTCACATTTGACCTCAATATGGCATCAGACACAAAATGGCAAAGACTTCGGCGGGAAGAGGATTGTTCAGGGCATATTCAAGAAGGATGCATGTAACGGTTCATGACAGAAAACAGCTTTCTGGCTTATTTTTCCTCTTAGATTTTATATTCAGGCCCCAGAAGGAATATTAAATAGTGTTGATACTTGTCCAATCAACCAAAAATCATTCAGGCAACCATCTATTCTACAGGATAGAGGAACTGATTCAAGTTGACTTTCAGATGGAAGTACCACAATTCTGCTATATGACCAACATACATATTTACATACAGTGTACTGCTGTGTACATGTGAGGAAGCGGAGACGAGTGTATATACTATGAGCCTGCTCATGTTTTTAACATTAAAACACACAGCACACACATTCTCTGAAAGGTTTTTGTGTTCATAAATAGTTCACAGTAATGGTGTAGCCGCTGTTCAAGGCACCGCTCACTCGCAAACTTCACATTTCTGTTGCTCAAACTCCATGTGGTAGCATAGATCCATGTACAAAATCAGTTTAAAAAATATTGGAAAAGTATGCTGCATTATAATAAACCTCAAGTACTTTAACTCGAGCTGTAATCAGACACCAGGGTATGAACAAACAGTTGGATTGATGCATTGGTGGGTTTGTTATCAAAGCTTGTGTGATCACATCAGCTGGTATGGCAAGTGTCCTCAGACACAGAGGTGATTATCACTGTCAAAAACATGTCTGGTACTTTTTTTTTTCACCCCAAATATCAAATAAAATCTATAAAATCCAAAACAAGGAATTATATTTTGCTTAAACGCTTAAAATGAATCCTATTTTTTAAATTACCATTACTGTAATGCTTAAAATATATATATATTTTGTTACTTTATTGCAAAACAATATATTCTTGATGTATTAGATTGTAAAGTATTTATAAATCATTGTAATATTTGTTGTATGGCTTTTATTTTATGCCAATTCAAGTAGTAGTAGTATAAGCAGTCTTTTTATTACACTGCATTAGTATGAATTTAAAGGGAATTTCCATTGAGAGCAATGAGAATAAAAAAAGACAATGTTTATGGTCATAAAAAAGGGGTTCAGTTCCTAAATGCAAAATGTGAATTTAATATAGTTTAAAATAAATTTTTTCTCTTCTGATTTTTTGGGGCGAAATGTGACCTGGATATGCTTTTGTGAGATTCACCCAGACAGACACACACTCACAGTTTAACAGTTATTGAAACCATTCCACACCTTTCCCTTGTAATTGTTGTCTGATCTTGTTTCAGCGCGACCATCTTCAGTCCAATCTACCTTACTTTGATTTCATTATGGAAAATTGACAGCGAGTACAAACAGGAAAAAGAGTTAGAACAGTAAAGCCATAACATGGTGGGAATCATCTGCAAAGTTCCGCTTGGCATAAAAAAGCCACTGCCTCAGGAACAAGTCCTTAAAAATAACAGTCACTCTTTACATGGGTAAATGATTCATTTGTATCACATTTGGAAACATGGAGCAGCTCTTCTGCTAGAGAAACTACTATGGAGGAGTTTGCAATGATATAAAATCTCTACAAGAACAAGTATGTGCTATTAGAGACTGTAACAGTAATAGTGACCCAAACATTTCCCCAAAACCCTACCGCTATTTTGACAGCAACATGGACAGTCACATTCGTAAGATCAGAAACTGCATCTATGAGCGTTTCAGTGGATTGAAAACAGCAGCTTGAAGTTGCCTCTGATTTTCTTATCGTCTTTCAACACCATCATCAAGTATTAAAAAGATGGAAGAATCCCAAACAAATCTCCTTTTGGTGGTCCTCCATCAGCTTTCCCAATGAGCCTCCACACACACTGTCATCCTGTTTAGTTATCTGCCTGGCTTACGAACAGTACTGTACTGGTATGAGGTACTACTTTGAAACCTGTGAGTGAATCATCAGTGCTTTGTGAATGAAAAAAGAGTCCATCAGCATACAAAAAAACTTTCCTAATCACGGCAAAGAGTCCATTTCCTTTCACCATCCAGCCAGGAAGCATGAGCACAGCAGGGTGTATGATTTTTTTTAAAACCCTTTTCAAATGTGTGACCATGTCCGAAGGAATCTGTGACTCATACCGGGTGACGATTAAGTGATTTATGGAGCGATAAATGGGTGGGCTGATGGAAACATTACACAATAGTCTATTTTGACGCTTTCAAGTAATGGCCTCTGGGATGGCGAGTGCTTATTTTGCTTCAGAACAGCAGAGAGGAAGAGCAGTGAAAACCTCATGAGCTGTTCGTCACTCAGTGCAATACACATCTATTGAGCCTGTCCAGAAGGTTTTGGATTCATTGAATATTATTTTTATATTCATAAAAGAAAGCAATTCTTTTGTAGAAGACACTGTTTACCCAACTTGTTAGATCTGTTCACCTCAAGAACTTCTGTGAATGGCCAATTTTCCCCAAGTGGCTGAAATGTTTAAAAAATATATAAATATAAATATCTCAGTAACATTGCTGCAGAACTCCAGGTGAAGCTGAAACCAAAGGTACTGTTGCTCTAAAACTGTTGCCCGCTGTCAGCTCTTGGACTCTTTAGGCCCAGCTTCGCCTTGGTTGAAGACCTCCATGTTGGTGGAGGACGAGGAAGAGGGCCACGGTCTGGCCCATTCTGGGCTGAGTGAGTGCTCAGGTTCTGGGGACAATGACAGCATGAGAAGGGTCCCTGCATCAGAGGAGCATGCTGAGCACAAGTCCTCAGATGAGAAGGTGAGGCTGCCTAGTTTGGCGAGAGAGTTGGAACGCTTTAGTCGAGAAGGTACAGTAAGTCCTGCAAGTCGCATTCGGGCTTCAATTTCTTGGGTACGTTGACGCACAAGGCCTGGTTTGCCACGTACGCTGCGGAGGCTGTCGCTGCTGGAGCTGCGGGTGAGCGTGGAACCATGCGGGGAGGAGACCGGTGTCTGGCCACCTGACCCAAGGACCGCCAACAAGACTTCATTCGTCAGTGGCACTTCTGCTTCGGTAGCGAACTCTGCCCGTGTTCCAAAAGGCAATTCACTGGAATTGTTTGTTGCATCCTCGATTTTGCTTGAACCTGCTCCCCGTTGCTCGTTTGCACGTGCACGCTCCTGGAAGAGACCGGAGAGTTTTTCCAATCGCTCTTTTCGGCGACGAACAAGGCCAGAGCGTTGCAGCTGCATCAGGGTCTCTTGTTGTTGTGGAGAACAAGCGGGCTCCGCCTTCTCCAAGCCCTTCATCTCTCTCTCGTTCCTGTGTAGAGCAGAGGAACCTTGTGCATCAGTCTTTTTCTGTCTGAAATCTCCTTCCCCTTTGGCCTCAAGAATCGGAGTCCGGTTCTCAGTTTCTTTGTCAAGAGATTTGCTTTCTGGCTTATCTTTATGCCCCGAGGGCATTGCATTGGCATCAAGGCACAGATCTGAGGCAAGCTTGCCACACTTGGCTGTCATGGGCAAGTTGGCACAGGGTGGCGTCTGAATAGAGATATTGGGTATAGAGATAACACTGTTGAGGGGTAAAGGGGCAAGGCCTTGTCTGTTAGTCTCCAACAGAGCACTCTGGGTGGGCTTGGAGGCGAACAACAAACCAGGAGCAAGCCTCGGCTTAGCATGCTGCTTCAGATGGGCACTTTCCTGAACAAGAAAAGACAAGAAACAACGATGTAATGCAAATAATATGTGATGCAAATGGTGCTAGGTGCGATCATGCGAGAAACTTACAGTGAGCTTTTGTTGCGTTCTGAGGTGGTTATTGTTGTTGGAGTTCTCATTGCACAGATGGTTCAGGCTTGCAAGTTCAATCCCCTTTTTATTTGACAACTCCTCACTATCCTTCCTTCCTCCCTCATTTCCATCTCCTTTCTTCGTTCCCTCTGCTAACGCCTCCATTTCTGCTTGCTCTTTCTGAGCCTCCTCTTCATCCTCCTCCTCCACCGTGCTGAACTCCAAACGTAGACGTAGTTCCTCCAAAGGCTCCGCCCCTCGAGAACTGGTTCGAGCGGTCGTACCCTCTTCTGGGACACCGAAATGGGGTAACTGAGGGCCGTCGCACCCTTCGATGGTTTCATCGTCAAGAAGCGCATCTTGCTCCACATCGGCAACCTCGATGAAGACACAATCTACATCCACCAGAGGCTGTGCATGGACAGGCGTGGAAGGGTTGCTGTCGAGGGCCGAGTCAGACAGGCGGCGGAAGTAGTAGTGGTAGTTTTGTGGGTGGCCGGGGTCAAGATCTAGGCTAATTGGAGAGGAGTGGGCGGTAGGCTCACAGCATACGGTGACCCTGGGGTTAGTGGGGTCAGGGGTGACGTGATCCACAGTCTCTGCATTCACACAGCAAGGGGAAGCAGCTTGCTCACAGTCAGGGTGATCGCAATCGGAATCAGGATGCCACAGGCGGTTATGACGCTGCTTACTGAAAGGAAAAAAGACAAAGCTTTAAAACCCATGTCGTTTCAAACCTGTGTGACTTACTTTATTCTCCAAAACTAAAAAAGAAGATAGTTTCAGGAAAGAATGTTTCCTTGATTAATCGATTTGATTTGTCGTATTTTTAATCAAAATTTTTTGGGGATAAATTTTTTATCTAAATATTTTATTTATTTATTTACAATTACTTATAATTATACTTATATTATAAATAAAGAAAGAAAAGATTGTGTCTTGTCTATACAATGAAAGTCAATGTGTTCCAAAAGCAACACTGGGCCCTAACTTTTATTGTAAAAAATAAATAAAAAAGACATCTTTCAAAATATCTGGTACACAGAAGAAAGAAATGTGCACAAATAAATATTTTTTGGGTAAACCATTAACAAGTAATACACATACCAGATTACAATAAAAAAGGACATTTCTCTTGTACCTGGCATCCAGTATGCCCTCATACTCCGCCAGCTGTCTCATGAAGCTGGCATTGGGACGGGTGATACTGCGCTTCTGTTTGACAAAGTTATATGCTTTCTCCAGAGTCCAGCCGTTCTCTTTCATTGCATATGCTATTACAGTAGAGGCGGAGCGGCTTACGCCCATCTTACAGTGAACCAAGCATTTGGATTGATTCTTTCTGTAGAGTACAGAACAAAACAGCACGGAGGGTGTGAAAAATCATAAGGAAAGAGAAAAGTATGTTGCTTTTTTTTTTTTTTTTTAGATAAGTGCCTTACTTTGCTTTGACAATAAAGTTGTAGGTTTCGTTCCAGTGAGCCAGTAAGTCTGTGGCCTCGTCGTCGTACACTCGGATGTTGTGGTAGGAGAATGTTCCTGGGAAAAAGTTATCTATTTCCCTTGTAACATTTAAGATGTAGCCCACCCTAAAGCAATGAATTGAAATGAGGAGATGCCATTATTACATCTGGACAACAATAGAAATCCACACTGCATGCAAGTTTATTCTTGTTCCTTACATAAGGTACTAAAAATACACCCTGCTTCTTGCAGTAAAAGAAACAGCTTTGATGGCTTTACTCTGAACTTTAGCTGAAACGGGAGAAAATGTTGCCCTTTAAGAGGTGATATGATACATACTCACCTTAAGCTTTCACATTTACCGAACATTAACCCATTTAGAGAAGAAGTCTCTTGAAAAAAACAACAATATGGGAGGAAAACAAACTGTGGATGCCAGTAAAAGGTAAAACTCACCCAGTTTCCTGAAGTTCCTCTAGATTAGAAGCATTCCATTCAGAGCCCTGAAAAATGAACGATGCAAATAACTGGCTTTTTAGGGAAATTGGCATCTAGTGCCCCATATATGACAAATATCATCTGCTTTTCTACAGAACTAACAAGCTTTACATTAATAAATTAAAACTAACTTCCTTGTCAAACTTCTTATCAAACAAGTGCTTCAAAATCTCAGCTTTTATTTGCATTTTATTTTGTACGTATTTAACCAATCGGTTATTTGATGTAAATTTTCATCAGTTTTTTATATTTTGGATAATTCATTAATTACTTTATTTTTAAGGATTATTTTTTAATTGTGGGGTAGGGTCATTTGGGGTAGATGCGATTTGCTCATCATTATATGATAAAACCAATAAAAAAGAGGGGGAAACGGTGGGGGGTCTGATAAAAGCAGCACTAACCAGATAAAGGTGGTCAAAGATGAGAGTGGCTTTGTCCATCTGCCCAAGAATAAGCAGCATCTCATTGTCTATGAACTCTTTGTACTCTTTCAGGTTGCGGTTCATCTGTTGTTCCAGCTCATTACGAATCTAAGGAAAAACACACATCATTATTGACTTGCAGACTCAACAATTGTTGAGTTTACAACTGTTGTTAAGATCAGTCTCCTGAAATCTGATCACAAGAGTTCAGCCGAGACACATCGCTGGATCCTGGTAGCAACGCGTCTCAAATGTTTCTCCTGTGACCACTTATGATTTTGAGCCTGTCGTGAAATATATCACTCAGTATGTCAAAGTGTAACTGCGTTTTTATGCACTCTGCATTTCCCGCTGACCTCTTTGGACGTGACATTTTCAAAGTCCTGGTACATCATGATACTCCTGAGTCTGGATTTGATTAAACATTCTGTCCTCTCCCTCTCTGTTGGCCTGAGAAACAGAAACAGAACACAATGTAGATCAAGGGTTCAAGAAAGAGCATCATTTCAAGGTGAAGGTTGTTGTTTAATTTGTTTGACTTTTTTATTAATATTATTACTGTTTGGGAAAATATATAAAACAAAATATATAAAAAGCATATACAAGAAAACATACAAAAAATCTACCCACACAATATATTTTTAATTTTACATAGAAATTAAGAATTTTAAGAAATGTATTATTTTTTTGATGTTCACATGTTTGTTTGACCATCATGATTAGCTCAACACAGCAATCAATTGCTCTACCTCTAGCTCACTAGCTCAACCAATTGCATTACACCCTTCTCTTTTAAAACTTTACTCAAAGTGCATCTCCTCAGTTCCTACCAGAGTTTCCGCTAGAAAAAAATGGTGCCGGTCAAAGTGACATTTTCGTTTCGTTTAACGGACATTTTGATGATATGCCGGTCAAATATCGCCTCTTAATAAGTCAAGTTGAGGAAAACTGGAGGCAGGCTATAGCCTACTTAAAAAATGACATAATCAGGCCGTATAGAATGCAACATGTTATTATTAGCCTAACTTTCAAATAGACGGAAAAAACATGAACGTCCGATTGGCGTCAATCAACACCAATTGTTTTTTACTATGGTTTCACACACATTCACTTTTTGAAACATTGAGGCACGGATGTACCTAATACAAATAAATAAAACAGCTCCACTTAACTAGCAGATCATTCATTTAGTTTGCTATTAAATAAGAGATCTAGCACTAAAATCAGTTGTTTTTGAAATCAAGCTGAGCGCTCGTGTCCGCTGCTATCAGATGCATGGACGACGCGCTGCGCGAGTTGCGCAATCTTCACTCGGACGCACGTTTCAATCTATCGCCGTTGCGGAGACTCTACACAGGCGAAGCACTGATACTTGGGCACAGAGATATCACGCAACACCTGAAATAAACCTTGCCACAAAGAACCGGCGAAAGTAATGATTATGCATGAAACATTTGAATTGTTGATTAATTGATAAAGTTGACGATGCAGACTCGCCATCTTCGCAGTAGTGAATGCGTAGAGAGAGAAATGCACACTTCATATGAAGTGTGCACGCGCCGGCGCCTCCGTATTCTGATTATATTGTCCACTATATTTGCTTCTTATTTATTAATCCAGGCAAATTTGTTGATGAAACATTGATTAAAATGAAGATACAATTTATACAAAACGAAATAAACTTTAAAGAAAGGCTTTCTACAAAACAAAACTAAATATTGGTCAAAATCTGACCCATTCCAAATGGTTTCCGATATATTGGTCATCTTATGATCCTATCTTACTCTTCTCATGCGGTTCCCTTTTCATATAATCAACATAGATTAAATAAAAAAATAATAACTTCATATTATTTATAAATATGAAACGTATGTTTAAGTTTTTTAACTTATAATAAGCGTCACACCACTCCGCTTTGCTCACATGCTCTGGTGTGTAGTCTAATGCATGTGTGCGTGCATGTGGTGGAGGGGTGCGATTTTCGAATAATAGCTAATCAACCCAGCGAACTTCGAATATTATTTTTGCTTGAAAATTTAGTTTTGTATAAATGGTATCTTAATTTTAAATCAATGTTTCATCAACAAATTTGCCTGGATTAATAAATAAGAAGCAAATAAGGTTTAAGGCTAGCCTGCCTGGGCCTGGCCATATTTGAAACGTCTCACTCAATCGTTCGTTGTTTAGGTCTATATTGCAGCCGTTCTAGGCGTGCGCTTTATTTGAAATGCAGCATGCGATGTTGTTTAATAACTTTCAAATGGTAGAGCCTGTTCCTTTATAACATAGCCAAATGTCGGTGTATTTTTGCTTTATACATTTTAGGCTTATTCTCAAATTCATATTGTGTTAGGGGGGTGGGATTATTACGCAATTTTAATCGGACAATTTGACCGGAGAGATTTAATTTTGTCGGACATTTCATTTTTTTCCCGGCCAATGTCCGGTAATTACCGGACAACGGAAACCCTGGTTCCTACAGATACATTAAATTGTGACAACACTGAACAAATATGTCTGGTTTTGCTCATGGCCTCAGTTGGTCACAAAAGGACAATGAAAAAAAAAAAAAAATCAAAATGTAGAATTAAATATGCCTGTGGTTTTCACAAGTGCCAAGGATTCTGCACTCACTTGTCAACAAAAACTGCAGGAGAGTCTGGTCGCAGTGTTTCCAGGTCCTGCATGGCATTCCACTCGTTGATGCAGCTCTGTTCAGAGGCGATACAGCTCTCGTAGTACCCCGTCCACGTGAGCGCCATGCCACCGGGGAAATAGTTGTACCTTCGTGACACCTCACATGCCTTGTGCAAAATCTGCAATGCAGACCTGAAGGAAGAGCAGGTTAAAGGTGAGCAAGATGGAGAGACCTGTGGAAATGTGGAAATGATCACGATGCGAGTTTCTCTTTTTGGGGTCCATATACTATGGCTTCACAATAAAAGAAAGTATAATCTTAAAAAGGATCAAAGACTGTCTCAAATGGAGTTAAAAATGACACTGGTGAAACAAAACCCTAATCTCAGTTGATTAAGGGCATTTTCCCACCAGGCTCATTTGTTTCGGGACCTCGTGAGTTAGATTCAATTTGCTTGGGGATATATGAACAGCAATTGCGCTCAGATCTGCACCAAAATAATTGCAACATTGTATTCCCAGCTTCAGAACGAGCAAAGGATCTACAGGTCTAAATGCTATAAAATTGCATTGGAATCAGCACTCATAACTTCTGTTCACTAAAAAGTACCATGGTATTACTGTGTTTTTTGGACAGTATGTTGGAGATCCATGCAGTGCGTGGAGGATATGGCAATCGTTCAGTAATCATTGGTATAGTTTACTTTATTGGTATATCAAGGTGTCATGTTAAACATGGCTTAGCTGATGATCTGATATTCACTACCATGGTACTACCACATGTTTGAATGAGTCACCAGATGGCAGTGTGGCACTCTATTATATTTAAAGATGTCAAACTCCCAAAGCACCTGTGGACATCTGAAAAACAGTTCACTCATGTCATCATCAACCCCCTGAGGAGCTTTTTTTTTCTACCCAAGTAACAAACAAGTGCATAAATTGACCCAGCCAACTAGACAGTGGCTCTTGGTGAAAAAAACTATTTAACTTCACCTGATCAAGAGAGTTGATTGTAAGATAAATAATAACATGAAAGATTGGAAATAACAGTTCTGAATGATTTTTTTTAATTGTTTGAGTGTTTTAGGGTGAATTAAGCACTTAAATGACCTCTTACACAGTTTTAACAAGAAAAACCGGTAAAAGGAGAGCCATTGTTGAACATGACCACAAAATCCTTCTAATAGGTCAGCATGTGCTACAGACTGAAATTTCTAAAATGTGAATTTAAATTGCTCTAATACATTAATTATTGACTTTATTTTCTCACCACATGGCCTGGACTGACACCGGCTTGAAGATGTGCGTGCGCCCGGCGGTAGTCATACTGAAGCCTCTGGAGACAAGAGAAGAGAGGTTAACTAAGGCCATCACACGTCATAAAAGAACTACAACATTTCTAAATAACAATGTAAATAATGAATGCTTGTTAATATTGTCATAGTCTTCATTTTCAGTGGACAAATCAAATCAAAATTGTTTTGAATTAATGCCATCTAGATCTGTGCATTAAATGCTGAAGTGGCAGCATTTCCTCTCCATTCCCAGAGGGGGCAGTACTCACCCATCACCATCTAAATGAATCTTGGTGTCACTCCACAGAGGCAGCACCATCCCAATAGAGCAGTTCTTACTGTGAATGAAAGAAAAACACCCTTATTTTATGTCCTGTAATGTCCCTGCAGGAGGAAACAAAACTCCTAAACGGTTCTGTTTGATTGAAGTCACCTGTCTTTGTTGCTAAAGTCCATCCCCAGCAAGATGTTCTCCTCAGTGTCTTGACGGCCATTTGTGTAGACTACCACCATGTACCGCACGCGGTCTGACCACGCACTCTCTAACCGCACCGCCTGCATATTACAGTTGACATAAGTTTTGTTTAGTGCAAAAACAGAGCCCATTGTCTTACAAAAATAGATCACCTGAAAATGAAAACTCAGTCTTTATTCACTCACCCTCACGTCTTTCCAAACCCGTATGTTTTTATTTCTCTCTGAGTAACACACAACAGGAGCCTTGTGAAGAATCTTCACGCAGCATTTTCCCCCATACGCCTGTCAAGCTTATAAAGAGCTATAAAACTATATTTAAAGGACAACTCCGGCGCAAAATGAACCTCAGGTGTAATAACACATTGGTACAGACTAAATCGTTCCCTGAGATTTGTTTTCATGATAATCGAATATAAAGAGTTTTATCTCTAAAAACAGTTTAGCTTATAACGCTAGTATATTGGGCATCGAGTAAGCAAAAAGAGATCGCTAGTTAATACCATTACAAGGCTCAAATTAGCCCCACACTAACACGGCAGCATAATGAGGGTCCTTAAATGCAAACCGAAGCATTGAGAACTTTGTAAGTGTATAGACAGTTTAATAAGAAGATACTTTACACAGACAGTACAGTTAGCGCATACAGACAGGAGCCATCTTGGAAAACAGTCTCGATCAATCGAACCACTAAGGTGAGCGAACAGTACGTGTAGATATTGAAGATAAGATAAATTATATTTATTTTTTTATTTTCTCTGTTGCGTTCAGTGCTTCTCTTATGCGCTCAGTGCTTTCTTCCGGAAACAACGGACCATATGAGATTCCAAGTCACAGTTCAGCTCACGTATCACCGTGTTCGTGGTTTGACTGATCGAGACTGTTTTCCAAGATGGCTGCTGTCTGTATGCGCTAACTGTACTGTCTGTGTAAAGTATCTTCTTATTAAACTGTCTATTCACTTACAAAGTTCTCAATGCTTCAATTTGCATGTAAGGACACTCATTATGCTGCCGTGTTAGTGTGGGGCTAATTTGAGCCTTGTTAATGGTATTAACTAGCGATCTCTTTTTGCTTACCGGTACTCGATGCCCAATATACAAGCGTTATAAGCTAAACTGTTTTTAGAGATAAAACTCTTTACATTCGATTATCATGAAAACAAATCTCAGGGAACGATTTAGTCTGTACCAATGTGTTATTACACCCGAGGTTCATTTTGCACCGGAGTTCTCCTTTAAGTCTTCTAAAGCAGTGGTTCTCAACCTTTTTGACTCCAAGGCAAATATTCAAGACAATATTCGAAGACCCTCCTATCTAAGCTGATATGTACCTCTGGTACTTCTATTGTAACAAAAACGAAGAAACTATTTTTTTCCTATGTTAATTAAGATTGTGTTAATATAACTTTAACCCCTGGTTGAGAACCACGGTTTTTAATTCATACAGTATTGTTTTGTGTAAGGAACAGACTGAAATCACTGACTATCCACTGGAGCTATCAAAAAGACGAATAGACTGTAAAAATGACATAATTTGACACCAAACGCCATAGGTTTTTGTGATCAAAGTCAACGAAGGCAAAATGTTCAATATAGAATAATGATATAACTGTCACGCAAAGCTATTTTATGCTTTCAGAAAACTTCTTGGACCATTTTTATGGTGCCACCACAGATCGCATATATTTTAAAATTATTCTTTTGTGATGGGTTTGGAATGTCATGACGAGGTTTAGTTAACAATGACAGAACTTTCATTTTAAAGACAAGTGCAGATGCATGCACAGAAATCGACATGTCACAAGTGATTGACACTTGTATTTGTATATTTCACCATTGAACCCTCAGTAACAGCTAGTAAGACATTTAAACGTGCCTTTATACACACGGCAAACGAAAACAAGCTTCAGGCAACACGTTGACAATAAAACCCATTCAGCCTTACTGCACTGCCAAAATGTTAGTCATTGACAGCTTGTGTGTTCTCTCACCAGTTTGATGCGGTCTTCAGATCGAAGAATGTTGATCATCACCTGTAGATGCTGAGGTAAGTCACCTGTTGAGATAAACCATTGTTACATTCCAAACAAAACCATGACGACTATTTTGTTTACATTGACACCAGTGGCGTCTCAAACCCATATCGGAAATCTATTGAAGAAAAACAACCATAACAGTAAACAAGCTGACTTTAAAGTGATGTCATGAAAGTAAGGAGTGAACTAAGGTTTATAAGAGCAAGCATGCCAAGAAGAACGCCTGCTGAGTGACACGAATCAGTCTTTAAGTGTTGGGTGGGAAGACAACGGTATGCTTTTGATTAACGTTCTTATAGCGCTACTGATTTTACGAGAATCCAGAGTACAAGTGTCCAAATGCACAAAGGTAATGCGGAGAAAATGTGCTTTGTAATAAGAAAAATTAGTTGCTTCTTGGCTTGCGTTTACATGTCTCACACAGTATAATCCTATTTAATTAAACGGTAAACTTTGACATGAATAAGCAACGTTCGGTTGCATTGTGATCAGGTATGTGTAAATAAGTTCCGCCCTTTGTGCCAAAAGTATCAATAATTATAAATCTGACAACCTGAAAGTCATCTTATTCTAGCCCCGCCCCTTTTGATGCAAGTCAATAAAAGATTCCAAGTCTTGAATACACACGATCTGTTTACATTTCATTCTCCTCCTCAACACAGACAGACTAACTCCTGTGACATCTGACTGTGGTGTGTTCCTACCCAAACAAACCTCCTCCTACTCTTGTAGGCTTTGGCAGAATCAATGAAGCTATGATGTAACTGCTGTGGGACATGTGGGAGGCCAATCAAAGTGTGCGAGGAGGTTAAGAACAAAGCCAGAAACGTGAAAACCAAATAAACTCAGATAAAAAGATAGATCTTGTCATGTATACTTAACAAAACAGATGATGTTCTCTATGGTTTATTGGCTGCTTTGCATTTGGGACATGTATGAAAAGAAGGGGTATGTTTTCTCCTCCAACAGAACAAGCCTCTTGGTCTTCTGGGTCTCCGTGACAATAATTTACATAACTTTACATGCTTATCTGATCAAAACTGATATGTAAATGAACCCCTAAGGCAGAACAGGATCCCAGGGCACAGCTTTGATCAGAAGCATGCAAGACTGAGAATCATCGTTAAAGGAATAGTTTACTCTAAAAATTACATTTCATCATCTTTTACTCACATTCATGTCGTTACAAACCTATTTGAGTTCCAAGAAACACAAAGCGAGAAATTCTGCAGAATGTACAGGTCTTGTTCCCTCCATGCAATTAGAATGAATAGGGATTGGAGCTTCAAGCTTCAAAATAGAAGCAAAAGTACCATAAAGGTTATGTTAAAATGATCCATATTGTGTGTTATAATGAAAGTCTTCTGAAATCATATGCAGCACAAACAGAGGGATATCTTCCCCACCAGCACACTGTTAACTGAAGAATCATTGTGATCGAATCATTGAGCCAGGATTCAAGAGCCAGATCAGTCCAACTCATGAACAAACAAACTGCTTTTGTGAAGCAACTCAAGTTTGATTCATTCACAAATTGTTGACATTGCCGTTTCTCTCACAAGTCATGTGGATCACTTTTGTTGCATTCTTTTTCAAGCTTAAAAGTCCAGCCCCAATTCACATTATGTGCACGGAAAAAAGCGACCAGTACATCATTTAAAAAAAAAGAATCGCTTCTTTTCCTTTACTGAAGAAAGTCATGCAGGTTTGGAGTAACATTATGATGAGTAAATCTGGACAGAATTTGCATTTCTGCATGAGCTGTTAATTAAATATTTATTCTGACTGATTGTTATGATTTTGACAGTGATTCATCGTTTAATTTCACGGTTTTTGTTATGATCCGTCAATATGACTGAAATACTGAAAAAACTGAAATAGGATGTGTTTAAAATGAAAGTAGCCAAAACCTTATACTAAAACAAATCTGCTCACAACAATGATTTAAACAAGAGGCCAAACAGACACAACAACACTTTTATCTTTGTTTAATAATGCACTCACTTATAAGAGTCATTTTAAACATTATAAACACTTGGTAAAAGGGGTTTGAGCACTGAAATTTATAGTATGCACTACCATTCAAAGTTTGGAGTAGCCTAATTAAGTAATTTTTTAAAAAGAAATTAATACTTTTTTTTTCAGCAAGGATGCATTAAATTGATCAAAAGTGACAGTAAAGACCTTGATACAAAATGTTTCATTTCAAATAAATGCTGTTCATTTGAGCTTTCTATTCACCAAAGAATCCTAAAAAAGAATGTATCTTGGTTTACTCAAAAATATTACAACCGCGGCACAACTGTTTTCAACACTGATAATAAGAAATATTGGTAACACTTTAGTATGGGGAACACATATTCACTATTAACCACAACTTTTGCCTCAATAAACCCATCATTTGCTGCTTATTAATAGTTAGTAATGTAGATTTTGTAGCGTTTAAGTTTGCATATTGGGTAGGATTAAGAGATGTAGAATAAGGTCATGCAGAATAAGGCATTAATATGTGCTTTATAAGTACTAAGAAACCAAGCCAATGTATAAAATGTTTCTTAAGCACCAAATCAGCATATTAGAATGATTTCTGAAGGATCATGTGACACTGAAGACTGTAGCAATGATGCTGAAAAAAAATTTAGCTTTGCAATCACAAGATTATTAAAAATATATATTAAAATAGAAAACAGTTATTTTAAATGGTAATAGTTAAAGTCTTCTGTCAAATTATTATTATTTTTTAAAATCATTTCGGCCCCAACCTTTTGAACAGTAGTGTATTTTTTTAAGCACATTGAACCATTTCATCTCAAAAGATTAGGAGAAATGTAATTCCTCATATTATAACCCCTTTAAATTTGCCTTTGTGTTTTACTTGGACCTCTAAAGAGCCTTTCCTTTATCTCATTATTTCACTCTGCATTTATGGCACAGTTGCAAATATTTATGGTGTATCTTGCTTTAGGAAGTTGGACAGTGTTTAATACATCACAGCTGATACTATTTTAGACTGTCTGGCTCCTGGCACCATGAGAATGCAAATAGAGGTGACTGATGACGTCAAAAAAAAAAAAAAAAAAAAACCTGACAGGACCTAACATCTAAAAGGAAGGATATTTAAAGAGAAGATATTTAAGGGCTTGATTTACCTTCAGAATGAGTACCGAGGATTTTCCTCATGAATAAATGTTAAACTGTGACAAGGTCTTACTGAGAAAAAAGCAGAGCTATTCTTACTGTCAGAGAACATTTTGTACCCAGACTGCAACAGAGGAAGAGAAACCTTGCATCGTCTACTCTAGTCTAACGCAGACATCCGCTGTTTCTCAATGGAGACAGCTGACTTCTCTACCCTAGTATTTTTTTAAATGATCTAATTCTTGTAATCTAATTCCAGATCTTCTAGACTGTCTGCATAAGTCACTTTATAGGAAGTGTTTGTCATGTTCATCTTGTGATTGACGGGCAGTTGCGTTAATTATTCGTACATTTCACAAAACGCTCATGACTCAAGCGAAGCTCAAAACACTACGTGCCCCGAGACAATGTAAAAAACAAAACCACTCGTCAAACCTGTGTTAACGCACCTGTGGATCAGCACTATACCTGACACATCAAATCGAAACCGCACATCCCAACAAGACCACAGCGTAATATTAGCCAACTGACAAAACAGATGCTTGATAATATCAGGTGATATGAGGGGCCATTAAAAAAAAAATCAGTCTAAACCTGCTGTGATATGAAAAGCTGTCCGAAAGCGTGGCGAGATAGTCAGTGCATAAAGCCTGAGGGTTTGTTGTGTCTGCATGGTGTGTAGTTTCTCTCATAACAGATTCAATTCACCCGAAGCAACACCCTTCTGTTTAGCAGTAAACATGTTTAATAAATTCAACGTGTCACACGTGTTAGAAGATGCTGGACTGATGGCGGCTGGGACATCTGTTGTCATGCATTTGTGTTTACGTTGTTGCTGAGGAGATACAGTCTTTGATCGACTGATTAAATGTGTCAGATGAATTGCTTGTTTTTCTAGCAGTGTACTAACTACTGTAGATAAAAATGGTTTGTGAGTTCTGTCTTCCAAACTAAAATCCCAATATCATTATAATTTTTCATAACTGTATACTGTTTGTTGACATTTCCCCACAATAGGTTGTTTAACAGGCAGATTGTGACAACTTACCACCACATATAATGAGAAAACAAGCTCCACTTTTGGTATGTATATCTAAAATATTTCTGTAAAATTTCTGTATGTGTCTATACAGACAGCCTCTCTACAAATGTGTTCCTTTCTGGTGGTCAACTGTCCCATAAATTAGATAAAAAAAAGAAATATTTTTTGTGTTCCCATTCTGAGTGCCCTGTCTATAAGAAGTGATGTTCTCACAGTCCCAATGTGCTGAGCTAAACTGCTAATCTGGCTAATCCACATACAAACACACACACACACACACACTTGTCTGGGACACGCTTAGCCAGCACTGAGTCTGTCCGTCAGCCAGACAGCATCTGCTGCAGAATTTCTGAATTTCCCTCTCAGGACAGACGGTATGATTTTGTCAAAGGTTTAATAGACATAGCCGAATCGTTGTCATTTAGGAATATGACTGCATGGGTTTTTGAATCGAGAACTTTTGACGATTAATCGTGCTGCTTTAAAAGTCACCTTTACAATAATTACTATAGTAACCATTATTTCCACCAAAACACCATAATTCAAACTGTTATTGTCTTTAATGTAAAATGACAAACTTCCTATTTTAATTATTGACTTAAGATTTGAAAAAGTTATATTCCTAAATGAAATTACCACAGTAATACAGGCCCTGAAGTACAGTTAATAAGGATCGTTAATACACTGTTGACTCGAATAACAGTGAGCATTCAAAAACGTCACCTGTACTTTGGCTGCTTATGTAAATTGAGGAACACACTGACGTGTGATGCAAGGGAGGAGACAGATTGTATACAAACCCCTCAATCCCATTCAAGTGCATGGACTGACCTGCATGCTTGTGGTGAGTTTGACCTCTCGGACCCTGTGGACAACTGCCCTGCTGCAAAAACAGAGCGGCCCCCTTGACCATGAAGAAGCTCTCACTTAAACTGTAAAAGATGGAGGGAAAGAAAGGGTAGAGAGGAGACAATGTGAGAAACGACAGCAACAACTGACCAAAACATGCTTGCATGACAGTTTAGACAACAAAACCCCAGGAAAAAAAAATGTGGAGTTGGATTTAGCGCAAGCATGTGGGTTTTTCTTTCTCTGCTCATATTCTTCTTGTTTTTTAATATTTTTATAAAAAAACAAACATTGAGTCCTGTTCACTGATTCATATATTCATATACTCTCATTCAAAATATTTGAACAAAAATCTGAGAAGGTTGAAAATAAATTTTTCAAATGAAATAGAAATATTTTGTAATATTATAAATGTCTTTACTGACACTTTTGATCAATTTAATGCATCTTTGCTGGATAAAAGTATTAATTTATTTTAAATAAATCTCACTGACCCCAAACATTTCTACATTGGTCTACAAATATACATGCATTTCATTTTCCGTGCATAAATTTAGGATTATGTCAGTAATCTAAAAAGTTATCAGTGGGTTTATGATAAATATATATGGCTATGTGTCCAGTCTTTCCATATGAAAACAAAATACTTTGTGAATGACCTATGACTTTTCATCTTTAATCCTCTGGGGTTGAATTTTGCATGTTATACAACCCATCTCACCATCACTCACCCGTCCCGTATGCTCACGACATGTGCTTTAGGTCTGTGATTTTAGGTGGGGCAATAATTAGCCTTACATGCAGTTAAACACATAAAAAATGTGATTGTGAACCACCTGAGGCTTATTATTATTATAATGCACTGTGGCTAAAGTACTGTAAGTCTTAATGGAAACTCAGTGCTGGGAAAACCAGGACTACAGCGGTGAGAAATGTGCTCAATATCTTGCAGAGAAGCTACTGAGCTGTAATGAAAACACTCTCGTCTGTTATCCTACTGTCATAACAGGGCAGGGATGGTTCACATGAATTAGTCTGAACATGGTGTTGAACATGACTTTGCTAGAAAGTTTAATGAACTGTGTGTGTGTGTGTATGTGTGTGTGTGATGGGTAAGTTTAGGGGTCGGTTATTGTGTGTGTGTGTGTGTGTGTGTGTGTGTGTGAGTGATGGGTAGGTTTAGGGGTCGGGTTAGTGTGTGTGTGTGTGTGTGTGTGTGTGATGGGTAAGTTTAGGGGTCGTTTAGTGTGTGTGTGTGTGTGTGTGTGAGTGAGAGTGATGGGTAGGTTTAGGGGTCCGGTCTACTTAACTATATTTTAAGGGACAACTTTGTACCCAGAAGTGACCAAAACAAAAACCTCCCTTTAGGGACGACCTCATTTGTAAATCTGGTATAAAAATAAATTAAAGGTTTTTTAAAAATGCAAAAAGGTTTGTGTGATGGGTAGGTTTAGTGTATGGGATAGAATATACAGTTTGTACTTTGTACTGTATAAAAACCATTACATCTATGGAATCTCCCCATTTAGATAACGAAGCAAACGTGTGTGTGTGTGTGTGTGTGTGTATGTATGTGTATATTTGTGTGTGAGAATGGCCTCCTCCTTGCCTGTGGATTTATTGTGTCTATATATATATATATATATTAGGGCTGTCAAATGATTAATCGTGATTAATCACATCCAAAATAAAAGTTTTTTTTACATAATATATGTGGGTGCACTGTGTATAATTATTTTATATATATATATATAAATACACACACATGCTTGTATATATTTAAGAAATATTTTCATGTATATACTGTATATAGATTTATATATAATTTATATTATATATAAATATAAATATTTTATATATAAATAATATTTTTATATTAAATATACATGCATGTGTGTGTATTTATATATCTACAAAATAATTATACACAGTGCACCCACATATATTATGTAAAAAAAACTTTTATTTTGGATGCGATTAATCGTGATTAATCATTTGACAGCCCTAATATATATATATATATATATACTTACAAACAATACATCAGAGACAGAAAGAGTGAGCAAAAAACATTTTGTGACGAATGCAATACTCTTATATTACTATATTGTAAACTACAACTGGGCACTTGAAAGCAGTTGTAGAAACTACTACTAGCCACTGTTGAAGACAGTTCTGCTGATTAATATTTTTGTGGAAACTGTGAGATCTTTTTCATGATTATTTGATGATTCAAAGGTTTAAATAGAAATGTAACATTATAAATGCCTTTACAGAATCAATTTAAAGCACTTGCTGAATAAAATCATTTTTTTTTTTTTTTTTTTTAAATAGCATTTCATAACCCGAGTATTGATGAGCGTAACATTAGTGCTTGACAAGAACAAAACAACCTGCAACGCACACATGCTCGCATACGACATGTGAGGCAACTAGTTGTTGGCTGGCTTCATTCATGCAGCACACTTCATCTAAACATACTCTCTAAATCACTCTCACTCTCTTGAAAGTGTAAGGCAGTTCCATAAGTTACAGAATGAGGTGGTCAATCTCTTTTATAAGTGAACTGTTTGTGAACAGAACTGCAATCAACTGACAACTGTATTCTGCTTTTGTGTGAATACAGCCCAATTACATTTGAGTATGTTGGCCACTGGCCATTGTTCTCTCTAGTTTCCATTATTGAACCTTTAAAAAGATATCAGTGGACCACTACGGAGAACACAGAATTCATGCTAAATAGGCAATAGACAAAAAGACTAACTAGTTGACTAATTCAGACAACCCAAAGGGTTTGACAATTTTGAAAATATGTAGTGTTTCACAACTCTACACTACGGTAATCTGTAATCTCATTTCAATTAAATGGTTCATGCTAAAAAAAAATATTAAAAAACGTGTCAAACTTAGTAAAAGTAAAGTAAAATAATCCCTTTCTCAAACCCACAGATGCAACACAAAGTATGAAATGTACAGCATCAAACTTGAAATCTACATAATAGAAGTGTACATTCAGAAAGATCACTGACTGGCTATTTAGGAGTGGCTCCTCAAAACCATCATGCTCGAGTCAGGACAAATATTTCGGGGTCAGATTGTTTTCTCGCCCTGCTGTGGCTGTGACCCTCTGCTGACTCATCCCTCTCATTTTCCCTGACTGGACTTCCAGTGTCTCAGCATTCAGAGAAACAACCATCACATGATTAGCAACCAGCAACAAAACTCGCATTGTGCCCCCACCCCACCCCACCCTTCTCTTTATTTCTCTCCTACTTCCTCCTCCTCCCTTTCTCTTATTCCCTTCTTCAACTTTCTCACCCTCCCTCGTAAGGCCCCGAGGGTGTCAGCGGATCACAGCGGCTTTTGTTTCCATCCTCCTCTCTTTTGTTTCTCCTCTCCCTGCTGCGCTCTCTCTCTGTCCGCCCCTCTGAGCGATTTATGTGAAGGCTGGAAGCAGCTCAGCACCGTTGGGCTGATGGATTGAGTCATGACTGCGAGACAGACAGCTGAAAATGACGGTACACAAGCCTTGAGCAGAATACACTCATCTCCAAGGGTGTAATTATGATGTGAGTAAGAGTTTTGAGAAGAAACCGCTCTAAAACGTCTCTGTCCACGTTTCAATTGTATGTTTAGTCGGCCCCAGATGGATACTTGGCACCTGCTGTAGGATGAACAGCCCTTTGGTAGAAATTCTGGAATCAAAACTACAGCAAAAATATAAACGTGTCAACTTATTTTCCTGATGAATGTCACAGAAATTGTATACACTTTTCTGTAAAAATAATTATTATTTTTTAACAGAAAAAGAGTTAAAACCTGTAAATTGGTTAACTATAAAAGTTACGTGGTTTAATATTGCATTACATGTCATTTTACTGTAAAATAATGTATGGATAATGGATTTTGGAAGTAAAAACATTCCCAGAATTCCCTGCATTACACAATATATGACTATATTTCATTTATATTTTGTCATCTTTAATGAACATGTTGCATTTTATGTTATTTAGTTAATGTTCATCGCATAATTTAGTGTCATGGACACTTAATTAATAGACATAAAGAGAGCAGGCAACATATGTTTGGCAAAGACTGAATAAATTACAACTGAATAATATATATAGGCCAAAATATTTTTCAGCTTTCTGATATTCAAGATACATCCAGTATAAATCAATCAATATGTATGCATTTGCTCTAAATAGCTTATCTTCAATTAGAGGATCAATCACTTCGACCAAAAAGACTTGTAGTAAAGTACATTCAAATTGTTCAAAAGTTAATAATTTAATAAGTGAAAAAATAAATAAATCAAGAAATGTATTCCACTGTTTTTAACAATTTTGCAATGCTATGTAAAAAATATAAGGTAATAAACGGCAATACGTGAGAGATGATGCTAAAAATATACTATATTAATTGAATCCGAATGATTCTTGGATTCAGACAGACAGTTTGAGCTGAATAATGAAATGAATTTATCGATACTGTTTTTGCTACTGAAGTTTAATTTAAATGCTCACATAAGTCAGAAGACAAGGAATGATCTACAAACTAGTATACCAATAATGGCAATTGTGACCAAATAAAGTGCATTTAAAAGATGCAATATATGCACCCTATAGAGGGACAACTTTTGAATAAACTTACTCATTTTCTCCAAAAATACTTTTCATATGACAGCAAAGCACAGTATAAAGCACATAGGCCGAACAACTCCACATGACAGTCAGTAAATTCATCTGAAGGTCAGAATTAATTTGGCCCAGCATCATCTGATAGTATTTTGATAATGACCATCTGCAGGAGTGGAATGTCCACTCTTATATAATGCACACAACCTAAGGCAAATAAAAAACACAAAATTGGACGACCGCATGCCTTTCATTCAAATATGCAAACATCACTACCTCTCAGGTAACACTAAGAGCAATAATAAAAAGAAAGTTTATGATGTGGCAAGACCAGATTTTACAGGTCAAAGCAAAACTATAGTATGTGACACACTAAGAGCAAACACACACGTAAGCTGAAAACTTACTCATCTTCAGGGCTCAGATAAATATGAGGTATGAATGTT